AACCAGACTCCCAGCCTGTAAGATATTGGTGTGGAAACGGTGACAGGAGACTCACACTGCCTTTCCACCTGCTCCCTGGTAAATCCGATAAAGGCGAAAGCAAGCCTTTTGGAAGCCTTCCAGGGCACTGTGGATGTCTTTCAGGAAATATAAATGACACTATGCTCAGAGGCCGGGGGGAAAAGTGTTTCTAGTCCAAAAGGAAAGAAGGAGGGACACAGGGCAGAGTTAACCTCAGTAAGATCTGGAGCTATCAGGAGGATGGATTAAGGTCTCAAATGGAGGAAGTTCATGAAAGGGTTCCCTGTTTTTATGTATCTATTTAGCAGTATGTAGAGTTGATTTTGCTTGCTTGTTTGGATCGGTTGGCATCTATTTGCACTGTGCCATCGTCATTCCTTCCAAGGTAGCCGTCTTAAAGGGAATAAGAGTCATCCACTTCCATCTGGCTGTGCCAGGGAAGGGAAAACCTCCCGAGGGGCGGGTCTCAGAGTGTGACCCCCAGAATAGCAGCATCAGCCTCACCTGGGAACTCACGAGGACTATGGGCGCTCTGGCTTCCACCCAGGCTTTCCTAATCAGCAGTCCTAGGGATGACTTCCAGCAGAGTCTGGTGTGGGTTCCATCCCCTGAGGGCTCTCCAAGTCTGCTCCACCCAGGATAAGGTGTCAGCACTGTGAGCACTGGGCACTCTGAGAATCAAGGATATAGGCTCTGGCTGGCAAAAAAAAAAAAAAAAGCGTGCAGCGCATGTGTAAACAATTGAGAAGGACCTAGCAGCTGTTCAGAGGCCGCTAATGAATTAAAAGGGAGGGATTCGAAGAGCAAGAAACAGAAAACCAAGCGTAACTGTCCTCCGTTCTGTGGAAGACTTCTATTGGTATGGGAAATGGCAGAGCTCCCAGCGCTTGGATAGCAGAGAAAGGTGAAGGCGTCCAGGCAGCTGGGGCAATGGCTCATTCAGTAAAGCACCTGCCTTCCAAGGACGAGGACCCACATTTATTCTCGAGTCTACTAGAGAAAAGGCTGCGTACACCAGGCATGGCGGCCCACACTGTTAACCCCAGCACTGAGGAGGAGAAGCAGGTGAGATCTCTGAATGTCAGGCCAGTGTTGTCTACATGGCAAGTTCCAGGCCAGCCAGGGCAACACAGTGAGAGCCCATGTCAAGGAGGAAAAAAACAGAGTCTAGCTTGTAATCCCAGCACTGGGGAGTCTGAGACATGTATATCTTCAGGGCCCGATGGACATCGATGCTGGCCTACTTAGTGAGTTCCAGGCCAGTGAAGGTCCCCCAAAAGTTGTCCTCTGTCCTCCATGCACGTACCCGCATTAAAGTGTACTTACACTTAGAGAAAGGGAGGGTGGGGGAGAGAACTCTCAGCACAGAAGGAGTTACGTTATAGCTGGAGAGGAGAAAGTCCTTAACAGGAAGGGTTAAAATCTTCTAGATCAGGCGTGGGCTGTGGGTCATCTCTTCTCCATTCGAGCTCTTCCCACGAGCGGCTATTAGAAGCTTGCATAAGGAGGCCACGGCAAGGTCTCAATCAGCAAGAAGTTTATAAAATCTCTGAGCCTTCAAGACTTCAATAAATCGGATGGAGGATAAAAAGACAATATACCAGAGTGCTGACTTGAAAAGGAGCTCGGCTCAGAATGTGCAGTGGGGACTATAAGTGCTTTGGGCATCCAAGAGAAGGAGACGCTGGCATGGTGTCCCTTTTATCCTGTGGCTGGGGGATGAGATTGCCAGCCTGGCATCCATCCCCAGCTCTGATGGTGAGACATAGGGCAAGCAGGCTGCAAGGAGTCTTGCCTTTGGCATTCTCTCTTCTTTCTGGGTTTGCTGAGGTCTGTCGTCACTATCAGGGGGATGAATATTCTGAGACCTGCAGGTGGAATATTATTGGTATTTTTCTTTTTCTGAGGAGCTGATAGGGTGGGGAAAAGTCACATTTTATCCTGGCTGTCTTAAATGGCAAGAGGCTCAGGGATCAGCTGATCAAATTAAGTTCAGATGGGATTTCAGAGTGACTCCATTCATACAGAGAGCCGGAGTGAGCCTGCCTGGGGATACTGTTAGTTTGGAAAATACAAAACACTGATTCTTTTTTCTTAATGGAAGAATTGGGGCAGATATGGGATGATGGGAACAAGGAAAAGTGGCAATGAACACAGTTTTCCCATGGCTTGCGTCTTTGTACGCATGCTCCCTTCCTCACTGAGGTAGATAAACAGAGTCCCAATTTATGAGTCAGAAGGGAAGCAGTAGGTGCTGTTGGAGTGGGCCATAAATGCTCATTAAGTACAGGATAAGAGATATTTTTAAAAAATTAACAAGGGCATACATCTCTGAGTATATATGCATATATATGTATGTACATTGTATGTATGTATCCCTGTAGTCAAGGGGAAGCCAGAAATTGAGATCTAAAGCAAATTGATTTTTGTCATCCCTTCCCCCAGAAATATACATATCACAAAAGGTTTGAGACTTTTTATGTGGTTTTTATTTTTGTCGCTTGGTTTGGATTGGTTTTGTTTCCGAGACTGGGTCTCACTTTATAGGCCCTGACTGACCCGCAATTCCAATGCTTGGCTTGTAGACCAGGCTGGCCTGGGACTCATCAACCTCCTACGATCTGCTTTCCAAATTCTGGGATTGCAGGCATACACCATCCTGCAGGCTTAGCCTCTTTTGAGTGGATTTTCTTCAGCTGGGACCTGCATGCACCAAGACAGCTTTTCAGTTCACTTCTATGATGGTGTGGCCTTTGGTACTTTAGGGAACAGGACCTTCTTTCCTGTCACATCATATACAATACTGACATAGAATGGATCTCCCTGACAGAAATTACCGGCACTGGCTAGCTGAAGTGGAATGGTAGTCAGAGGGAAGAGCGCAGCCTTTGATGTCACTGGAGACCCTTGTTACTTCTTTCTTCATCAAGGAGACTTAAAGGACTCCCTCTAAGCAGAGTAACAGACATTAGTTGCACAATCCTAGATCAGACGCATTGATGCTCAGCCTGTTTCCTCTGGCTGAAACCTGAGGCCAGTTTCTAGACTAGGGCTCTGCCGCTGAGCTGAACCTTCAGCTTTGCTGGTGCTAAATTCCACCTTTGGCTTCTCGGCAGACTTTCTGGGCCCCACACACCTAATCACAGTGTCTAATGTCCCTTCCCTGATGTTTAGCTGAGTTTCAAATCTTATGCATGTTCTATCCCTCTTGATGCGAGAAGGGCAGGACCCTTGGCTCTCTTGTTCCCTGTTCTGGCCCTGATTGGGTGTAGTGGCATTAAGTGAAATTCTGTCCCCTGAATGTGCTAATTAATAAGAAAGCACTTGGTAAGCCAGATCCACTATAGGAGCCACGATTAATCACAGGAGAACAGACACCTCCCTCCCCCTTTCTGAGCTAATTTTGTCTCTCCCTTTTTAAAAATTTATTTTGAGTTCTGCTGATCAGTGTTATCAATTCCAAATCTAAGATTTGATATAATTTCACTCTTGTCTTTATTATCACCACCACTAATGTTATTATTTGAGAGGGCCACTTTTTTCTCTCTCCCTCTCTCTGAAATCATTCTTCCCACATCCACTGTGCTAAGACTACAATTCCCACCTGTGTTCAACTGGTGCGCATGACTCTGAGAAGAAAAAGCTGTCCACAGTGGGCGATCTATGCTTCCGTCATCACCCGGAGCCCCTGGTGAACATTCATTCTGTTCCCTCTGTTGTTGCTCCTCGAGGCGGCACAAGGGCATAATACCGACGCAATTGTCCCTAGGTCTGCCAAGAAGATGTGAGAAGCAGGAGTAGGGACTTTTCTGCTGGGCTATGAGCAGGCCTTTGCATGAAAGCAACCAGCCAGCCAGAGCCAGTCCTTTTCTCTCCTTTTGCCACCTCTTTATATGTGAGTGTTACAGTCGCTGGGAGAAGTGGCAGAGAGGCAAGTGGAAAGTTTCACAGCCCTGCAGACATTGGGCACAGGAAACAGCCCAGACCTGGAATTGATGGGGAGCCTTTGCTGTGGCTCAAACAGCCACACCCCTGCCTGGCTCTAGCGTCTACCTTGCACACCTTCCACCTTTCCCTTCCTGCCCCACACCTTTTCTTCATGAGAATTTCTCCTTGGAGATTCCAGGAGTCTCTGATTCTGCCCCTCTTCCAGCCCACAGCACAGCACCGTGAGGTCCTGTAGACATTTGAGTGCCCCAGGGAGAGCTGATGGTTGGTGCCCAGCCAAAGCTAGCTTTTATACTCTGGCTCGGAGCTCCATAGCAAGCAGAGACCAATAATAACACCTGCCTTTGAGATTGTGCCGGTTTTCTGGGGAACTGCAAGTGCTTCTCAAGAGCACTTACTGATCTTCCCAGCCACACAGGCAGGCACGAAAATGCCGTCCTTGCTTCCCTTTTCAAAGTGTAAAGTCAAGTGACTTCCTTGGGATCACCTGTGTTTTTCCAGTGCCGGGAATTAAACCCAAGAACTCAGGAGTGCTAAGCCAGGTGCTACACCCGCAGCCATTGCCCTAGCAATGGTTTCTCACTCTGACTCCCTCCCTCTTTGTCTTTGCTCATTCTGGTTTTTTGAGATAGAGTTTCCTGTAACTCAGACTGACTTTGTCTTCTTACATCTACCTCCCCAATGCTAGGATTACAGGCACACACCACACACTCCAGCAAATAAGTGGTTTCTTTGGAGCAATTATGTGTCTCACCTGGAGTTGGGGTTGAAGTTTCCTAGAATTGGCTTCAACTTCAACAGGGAGGAGAAAAATGAAAGATTGGTTATGCCATAATTGATTCTCTGGGTCAAGAACAAAATCAAATTTAGTAAAGTTAAAAACAGACAAAACCAACAAAAACAGGTCCTGGAAATGGTCTTTGGTGAACTATCCCTTTGGTTGACCAGATGTCCAGGTTGTTGAAAGAAGTAATTGGGTTATAGATGGATATATTTACTGTTGTTTTCCTTTTGGGCTGTGCCCATGCCAGGTGTTTCTCATCCTCTCTGTGAAAGGAAGAAAGACAACACCGGAACCTGCGGCCCAGCAGCTGAGGGACGTTTCCATGGTGAAGTCTCGGGGAGGCTTCCTGGGAGCAGAGCACAGTGGATGCTGTAAGTGAAACCACACTGCAGAGGCTCGCCTTATACATCTCGGTGAGCCTGGTGTGAGGGGCTGTCAGTGTGAGCCCTGGGTGGTCACCCAGGGGAGTCCTTGTGATCTGTGACACAGGGGAGTCCTCTGTGTCAGCAGAGGTTCTGTGTGTGGTAACTGTGAGCTTGCCTTTCCCCTGGCTTCTGTGGAGCACTGCTAACAGTCAGCTCGAGGAATGAAAGTGGAATACGGGGGTTCTATGCTGCTGTTTCTGGCATAGATGATGGCACCAAGCGTATACGGGAATGTCCACAGCTGTTCTTCTAGAATGATAAATAGGCTGAAGATTAAAGACCTGGATTTCTGTGCATAGCTATTATCATTAATTGTCTCGGTTTTCTTTGCTTCACCAGGATATTGGATTTTGGGTTTTGTTTGTTCGTTTGCTTGTTTTTCTGACCTTGACGATCTCAGACCTGTATGAAAATACAGTTATTTAGGGTTCTTCTCTGATTCAGAACTGGCTGAATAATAATAGGTTTTTACCCGGGTGATGGTCTGTGATGTTGAGATTCATAAACTGGGCTTCAAGTCAGCTGAAGGCTCTTGATGAGGTTTAGGATCCAGGGGTTGATAAAGTGGCTGGAAAAGCATTGACCAGGAAAGGGTGCGACCACAGCAAAGTCCTGGGCGGCCAGTGTCCACTTCTGAGGAAAGGAGTAATGGTATCTTCACATTTTAGGAAATAAAGAGGCAACTTCAATTAGAATTTGTGAGCATTACTTATATGTAGCTGCACATTTTGTAACATATTTATTATACGTTTTGAACCTTTTAAGTCTTTTTTTTAAATTATGCTTGTTGATTGTGTACGTGGGGGGAGAGGTTACATGTGGGGGTCAGGGGACAGCTTTGGAGCAGGTTCTCCTTCTATATGAGCTTCAGGGACACTTATGTTATCAGGCTTGGCAGCCACACTCATGTGCCAGACACACACACACACACACACACACACACACACACACACACACAAAACCAATAAAAATTTACATCTTTAAATTCAAATTTTCTTGGTGGCTCATTGTGTTTCATGGAAGGTGTTGCTATTTTAGTGTGTTCTCATTTGTGGGTGTGGGCCTATCGATTCTAGAAGTATGTGACTTGCTCTGTTATAATGGCTTCTATTCTCAGTTGCACTATTAAGGTCGGGTATATTGATGACTCCAGGCAGGTCACTAATCCACCACCACCACCAAAGAAAGCGGCGTTTTATAAATCCGTGGGTTGCCATATGGTACTTGTCCATTAGCTGTGAGCCACTAGCTTGGCTCAGGGTTCACACAATGGGGGAGAGTTGCATATTTATTTTCATACCAAAAAAAAAAAATCCCACCTCTTACCACAAAAGTTTTAAAGTCACTATCATGAAACAATTTGGGGCCCTGTGGCCTTTAAGTGTTAATATGAAACCCCATGATCTCATCAGGTAGCTTGTTGGCATAGTGATATTTTTTAAGGTGCTGTTTTCACGGGAAGTGTTTCTTATAGAAAGCCATTTTCAGGCCTAACTTTAGTTGAAATGAGAGTAGTAATAGTTGCTGTGGTAAGCCTGGCCTTGTGCCTAACACGGTGGATTTTCCTATCACACCTTTGCTCTGAAGGGCTCATGGCAGACTTGAGGCATTACATGAGGTTCTCAAAGGTCCTGAAGTCTACATTTGGAAATGCCATATGGCCAACTTTAAAGGCACTTGAAAATCCCTCTGTAAACAGACAAAGTTGAGAGGAAGAAAATGTGAAATTCCAGAGAGCTCCTCAAGCATGCCGAGAACTTTGTTTTCAAAAGTACATCACTTGAGATGGGAGGCAAGCTCTCCACTAGTAAATACTGTATCAGCCACCTCCCCTAACTGCGCTCCGCCCTTTTAACCCTTGCCTTCTATTTCCCACCAGTCCTCGCATGCCACAGAGGGGCATTGCAAGTGGGGAATGCAGGTTATTTGCAGGGAATGTGTATTTGCACACAGATGGCTTAAGTGTGGGTGTTGTAACAGCATTGACAAAGAAGCCCGGACCCGACAGCTCTTACAGACTCTGCCTCAGACTCATTACTCATTGCTTTTACCCCTTTGCGTGTCTCGTTAGCAGCCTCTCCCATCTGTCAACAGCTTCCTTCCTAGCAGCTGGCCTTTACCCATGGAGGTGTCTCCACCTGGCTCTCAGAGGGTAGCGAGACATCATGCGTCGCACAAGAGGAAGGCAGTGAAAGGCGAATGAGGAGTCGAGAGACCACCTGCACTTTACATTCAGTGTTGGCGGCTGTGTAACCCGGGCCCCAGCATCCCCTGGAGACCCATTTCAAGATGAGCAACAGGAGAAACTGAGATTGATGGTCTCTGCAGTCCTAGCATTTTGTGTCTAGTGTCACCAGGATGTCATCCTGCTGTGAAGCAGGTCAGATCCTCACTTACCCTCTTGGCCTCCTAAACATCAGTGATTTGCTACAACCTAGTTCTCGAGTGCTCTGATTTTAGTACACTGAGTGTAATCTTATGATGTCAAGAGGGCTTAAAAGATAAAGTTGCTCACAACCATCCTAACAGTTTGTGTTCAATCCCCAAGCCCTACATGACTGAAGGAGAGAACCAACTCCTTCACATGGTCCTCTGATCTTCCCATAATTTGCCATGGCATGTGCATACCCAACTATATACAGGCACATACATACACATGAGTAAATAAATATAATAGCTTTTAAGATTTTTTAGATTATGTGTATGTATGTGTACATCAGTACAAATGTTCTCAGAAGCCAGAAGAAAGTATCAAATTCTCTGCAACTGGAATCACGGGCTAATACAAGCTGAACAATATATGGATGTTGGCAGCTAGCAAGCCCAAGCGATCCTCTTGCCTTCATGGCCCTACCACAACCTCAAGGTAACATGTATTCTCATGGCCATGCTTGGTTTTTTATGTAAGTGTTGAAGATTGCTTGTCTTTTCCTCTGAACCATCTCCCTAGCTCCCTCCAGTCTATTTTTCTTCCCTAGAAGTAGAAGCTAAATGTCAGTGTTTTTGTACGACGTAAGTGTGGGTAAGGAAAGCATTTAAGGACATCGTGTTATAGAGTAACTGTCAGTGAACTTGGGGATTTCCTGATACTTAAAAAGCAAAATTCTGCACAAAAGTCCATTTCCTCCTGTTTTCCAACTGAGTGGTTTGTGGTCTCTTGTTTGTGAGCAGCCTGCATTGCCTGCCTATGCATGGTGATGTTTTTAATCTCTTATTCTTTTGACATTCCAAGGACATTTGTGTTCCCTTTTATTCCCAGTGTGGAACTGGGCCATGGTACCAGAAGTTACCTACATTGAAGGTCAAGGGTAGCCCTCTGCTCCTTCACAGCACTTAGAGGAAATATAAGGTGGCCTGGCTGATACAAGACCCAGTTTCTTCTCCGTAATGTGTGAGGGGAAGCGACCAGAAATGAGTTTAGGAAGGCAACATATTGCCCTGCCTTTGAGGATGGCAGGAATAAAGGTGTGCAGACACTTGTGTGTTTATCTGATCCCTTTATCAGAGTACCTGCCTCAAGCACTGCTTAGAGTAGGCCTGGGAAGAAACAGAAGCAAACACCGCTCTGCCTGTTTAAACAGCACTGAGATACGAGCTGTGGATTCTCGTCTCCAGAGTAAGAGAATGGCATGTGTACATTCTACGAAGAGACGTAGGTGGTTTCCCGATGTGTCTGTCAGGTTGGAGGTTCTAGAGTTGCATCTGTGATACCAATTTCTATAAGATGGTCATAAAAAAACATTCTGAAATAGATAAGGGGGGATTTATTATTAGCTTGTTAGAGGGGTGGACTTCCCTCCATGTGTTTAGTCTTTGTTTGATATCGCAGATTGGCCTGCACACGACAGAGGCGAGGAGGCTCTGTCTAGCGCTTTCTGCTCTGGAGCAGAAGGATTTCCACTAGGGTTTTTTGTTTTGCTCATCTGAGTCTCTTCCTCCACCTTCCTCAAGCCCCACTGACTGCAACCCGTTAGTTCCAGACCATGGTATATTCCCTGGAGGAGGAAGCTTTCTTGAGACCCTTCTGAGGGCTACGCTTCTGAGAGTAGACTCCAGCATTGCTGCTAGAGTTGGTGGGCCGGGTCTAGCCATTCCAGGCACAGGCTTGCTCTCCTCAGCACCTTCTTCCCCCAGTGTGAAGCCACCACTGCCCCCAGCAGTTTCACAAAAGGAGAGAGCACCAATCACCCAGAACCCTTAGGAAGAAGAGAGTTTGTGAATGTCTGCCACATTTGTATGCTTGGCAGGGTTTGGGGTGGGGAGTGGAGGAATGACTAGGAGAAAGAACAATAGCAACCTGACTGTGCTTAATTCTAACTGAGTGGGGCCAAGGTAAAGTGTGTGCATCCTGTCGAAGTTTAGAATACTATTTGTTAAGAGAAGGTTATGAACCAGGATGAATTCTCAGTCCAGGGTGCAGGCTGGAGCCATCTCTGTTCACGGTCCTCGGAAGGTAATCTCAGAAGAGCCCCATTGGGGATGGATATGTCAAGGTGCTCAGGGGTGCCCAAAAGGGATGCTGTGCAGAATTACTCAGCCAGGTTTCCAGGGAGCATCTGACTTAGACCTCCCAGCAGAGGAAGAAGCTCAACACATAAATCTGTGTGCCCCGAGAAGGCGTGGGACAGATGAAACACTGGAAAGTGAGTCTTCCGTTAGGTGCTTTTGTGTCAGGGCTTGTGAGACATCAGAGCCGGGCAGTTCTCGTTAGAAGCCTGTGGGACCAGGAATCTGCTGGATGCAGTGCTGTGCCCTGGGCTGTCACTACAAAGAATCTCAGATGGAAAGAACTAATTTTCTTTCACTACTTTACAAGATTCTGGGAAAACAGTTTACAGTACAGAACCCCTTTAGGCGAGGCAGAAAACTGCACTCTTTGAAGCCTATTTTGAAGCAAATTAGTCTTTTAAAGTCTTTGTTTCTTTCTTCCTCTATTTGTGCCTGTC